AATCTGAGAAGTTAATGACAATGTTCACTATCGTTACAGAAACATACAGGCAGACATGCAGTCAACAGTCACCACTGTTGTTTCCAAGTATCATCTGGTCACTGTGGGGACAGTTAGAAATGTTGCCTGCCCTTTAGCCAGCTGGCTGGGCTGGTGCAGTGTTCATTAGGTGCTTTGGCTCATGACAACTTCCTCTGGAGGATGTCACAACACTGGCTCTGAAAGACCAGCACCAGCTTGTCACAGGAGGTCCTGCACGCCTGGAAAGGAGAGGGACGTTTGCCAGGGAGCCCCCTCTCCTAATGATATTCTGACCTCTTCCTCTGTTTCTTACACAGATCATCTCTGGTCAGCAGCTGCCCAAGGTAAACAAAAGCAAAAACTCCATTGTTGATCCTAAGGTAACGGTAGAGATCCATGGTGTCCAACAGGATAACAACAAGAAGCAGACGAAAGTAATAGAAAACAATGGTAAGGGGTTTTCTTTCATGCTGTGCCCCCATGGGGCAGTAACCCTTTCATTTCCTGTAGCAAAGTGTTCCTTGCCAAGACTGCTGCCCTGTGCCCAGGACTGCCCAGGAGCACCCAGCCTGCCCACATTAAGCAGGTACATGAGGTGCTGTTGGCCTACTTCAGTGCAGGGATCCTGGTTATAGACTGCTGGTGCCATGAACTAGCCCCACAAATTGATGTCCCTAGGGAGAATTATTGTCAGGGGTTCTTCTTTCTCTTCTCTCTCTAAGATGTTTGGAGACAGAAATTCCATGCAAAACAGCATCAGCCATATCATATGAGTTGTTCTGAGTCTGACTGCCAAATTTACAGAGCTAGAGCTTTGGAAGTGCTCTTTACCTCCTTGCAGTTGGACTTGACCTGGGATGCATGTGTCCCCACCAAGATCTTCCCAAAGAAGGCTTCTTGTGAGGCTGGTTTTATCCTGGAAGTGTCACAAACTCACAAAGACTGAGGTTGCAAGGGACTTCAGAGGTATCTGTTCCAGACCATGGCCAAAGCAGTACTGTACTCAGTGTTTGCTGAAGTTGCTCAGGGTATTGCCCAGATGAATTCTGATTATCTCAAAACATGGAGATTCCCCAAACTGTCTGGGCTCTCTCAAGTGATCCAGTCTTTGACTGACCTCATGATAAAATAAGGTATCCCTATTCTTAACCAGAAATTCTTGTGTTGCAGTTTGTGTCCATTATGCATCAAGCTTTTGCTGTTCACCTCTGAGAAGAGTCTGGCTCTATCTTGATAAAGAGGTAGTGGAGGATGGCAGTAATAACACCCTTAGCCATGTCCAGGTTGAATAGCTCGACCTCTCTCAGCCTGTTCTCATATGTAACATAGTCTGTGCAAAAGGAGAATATTTCCTGTAGCTCAGAACCTCCTCACCAGGCAAGGACTCCATCTGGTCATCCTCTCGGCCAAAGTGACACTGATGCTAAATTAATGCACATCACAGCAACATGACAGGTGAGGGATGAAAGCCATAAGTCCCCACCTCCAAAGAGCCAGGCTCAAGCCTTACTCCACACTGACCTCAGAGATCTTACAGACATTTCACCTCCTTGTGGAACATTTCTCATTGGTCAAAGATGAATGTGATTTCCCTCTGTGCTGTGAGGGTCTGAATATTGTGGTCTTCTGAGTCTGCAGAGGGCAAATTCAGCCTGCTCTCCTGTGGGATTAACAAGGCAGTAAGAGTCTGAGAAATCAGTCCTCACTCTCCTGCTAACAAACAAACACACACACACACACACACACACAAAGAGAGAGAGAGAGAGAGAGAGAGAGAGAGCGAGAGAGAGAGCACTTTTCTTTGTGGAGTAAGAGCCAAGCGCTAGAAAGCCAGTCCATAGTTTCCTCCTTGCTAACAATGTTTCCCCTTTCCTCTTTCCTGTTTGAGTAAATTTGGCCTGGCTCCTAAATCTCACAGCCATTTCTGTCACCTACAGTTTTTATAATGTCTCGAGTGAAAGCTCTGTAGGTAACATTTCAGACTTGCCAGGCCTGTTCCTCAGGGCTGCTCAGCACACTCAGCCCCGAGGCTAGCCCTTGGCTGGCTGGAGCAATACTGGACTGATACTGGAGTGATACTTGAGGGGTGCTGGAGGGAGTGTTGCCCAATGGAAAGTGAATGAAACAATGAAAACATCAATACTGGAAAGGGGCAGCTGCAGAGCAGCATTTCATTGGCTAAGGTTTCAGGCATGTGATCATACTTCAGCAGCTCACCTGGTCAAGTTGAACTTGTTGATCTTAAGGGATCTTTTTCAACCTAAATGGTTCTGATTCTGTGATTTTGTTTTGGTTGAACTGAAGGGCACAGATCAGGTCACATCGGTGCAGCGGTGGAGCTCAAGAAGCTGTGGGAAACTCCTGTCTCAGCAGCTCTGAGCATCTCACTATGGCTCTAAGATGGGTTGAAAATCCCCCACAGATGTCAGTACAGTGAAACCTGCTGTCCTAGGGCTGATGACTCCCTCAACTTTCATGACTTCTGCTCCCATGGGATCAGCAACACTAGTTTTTTTTTCCCCAGGATGAAGGAGGTCAGGAGTAGCTGTGTGTTATTGGAACAGTCAAATAAATTGCACCAACCCAGAACAGATATTTTTCTGTGGCACTGTCCGCAGGCCCATCTCAGCACATTCAGGGCTAGCTGAAAGATCCCTGCCTCCTGCTGAATCGTCCACAGACCCTCCATGACCATTAGGCTTGAGCTGACGTTGTGCTGTCCTTGGGCTTCCACTCTGCACAGCCTGGGCTGATGGCAGCAGGGTTTCAAACAGGATGTCCTCTCCTGTTTGTTTCTGGGGAGTGGTTTATTGAAACTGCAGAGAGCACCCACCATGACTTGGAGAGAGAGCACAGAGCTTTCTCTTCATCTCATCTGATGTGACAGTCTGGGTTTTCTTTGCTTTGTGAGTCCAGTTCAGAAGATCCTTATCCGCAGCAGAAGTGGGACTAGTCTGGCTGTCTCAGACACTGCCCTTATACAGGCAGACATAAAACATTTTTTCCACAGACTTGATGATGCTTTTTGTAATCAGACACTCCTCATTAACCTTTTTTGCAGACAGGGAATCTGAGGCACAAAGTAGTGACAGGTGTACGTACCTCAAGCACTCAGTAACACTAAGTTCCCCAGAAGGCTGTAACAACACAAAGGCACGGATCTCCTCTCTGCTCTCCTTTGGTTTAGGATTGTTAAAATTTGTATCCAGTCCAACAGCAACCAAAGACATACATGTATGAGCCAGCAAGAGCCTGTGGAGCAGAGCTGAGTTCACCTCTCTCCTGCTCCTCACTGCCCTTTGGGAGTGTGATACCGAGGTCTGCAGTGAGCAGCCTAAGCTGAAGGTTTTATTAATACCGGGTAGCAAATCAGTGTCAGAGCTGGGACCAATGGTCTCCACACCTCCTGAGACCTTTTCTTTGGGTCAGATTAGGTTGGAAGTCAGGCAAAGTCTTCATCCCTTTCCAAGCATCCCTGACCTCCATCCTTATCTGCCAACATCTGATTTCCATTCTTGCTTGTGAACAACTCTCACCTCCTTCTCTGTTTGTGAGCAGCTCTGACCTCCATCCTTGTCTGTGTTGCCCAGGCTTTAACCCAAAATGGGATGAAGAGTTTACATTTGACATAGAGATCCCTGCACTTGCCCTGGTCCGGTTTGTGGTGGAAGACTTCGACATGTCAACCAAGAATGACTTCATTGGGCAGTACACCCTTCCCTTCACTAGTCTGAAGCAAGGTAAGGCCCTGCTCCCTGTTCCTCACAACCACTGAGCCCTCTGGGAAGCTTCTGTGTCCTAGATGAGCACTCCAGATCCATCACAACTTGGGTCAGAACAGGTCCTCTCTCTGGGGTATGGGCACGATGATAAAAGGTTTATTGGGCAGCTGTCTCTGGGGGAGGGATTCCCTTGTCACCAGTGGTCTTGGGCATGATACGTTACCGGTGCTCAAAGCCACGCCTCTCAGACCTGTTCTGTGTGGTACTGGGAGCAAAACGCTCTGAGACAGGGAGATGTTTTTACAGGGTTTTGACAAATGTTAGCAAATATTTTTCCAACTGGACTAAAGGCCGCTTTCCATCTGTGTCTCTGCTTCCAGGTTACCGCCACATCCATCTCCTAACCAAGAATGGAGACCCGTACTCTTCCTCCACCCTCTTTGTGTACATCGATATCCAGGACTGTGATTAGCAGCTCAGATCTTTCAGGGCACAGTGAACCTCTTTACAGACCTAGAAGGAACTCAGCGTGCAAAGTCTGTCAGTGTCAGGGTCCCGTCAAATCCCCAGTGCCTTCTCTGGAGCAGCACATGGTGCTCCACAGGACCCTGATGTGAAAGAGCCATCGACCTTCTCCACTTGGCATGCTGGAAACATCCCAGTGCTGCTGTTGAGATTAATCCTTTTGTACCTGTTCGACCAATCCAGCTGTGTTTTTAGTTCACTTTATTTAGTGTGATTTTTTAATTTTGCTTTTAGCGAGAGGATAGGGTATCCTTTTTAGCAAAGTACAGCTCTTGGGTTGGGTTCAGTTAGACAGCTGGACAAAACATCCAACATCTGTGCAAGAAAAAATCCACCCCACCACTGAAATCAGTGGTCAGATACCAGGTGACTTCTTGCAACTTCAGATGTCAGCCACCTTTCACCATATGACGCCTTAAATGGGGACACAATTCTCTTTTCTGTTACAGATTAAAAAAGAAAGCTGCACTACAAAGGCACATGTTATATAACTCAACTTTCCTTTTGTATTATAATAAAAAATACATGAACACTACTCTGCCGGTGTGCCTGGCTCTCAGCCAGGTCGCTTTGCATTCAGAGCTTGGCTCTCATCCTGTGAAGGAGAAAGAACCTGCCAAAAGGCAGATTCCCCTCTAACCCATAGTGATACCCACTCAAAGGGGCCTCAGAGAATGTCTTTTGCCAATGACAGTGGAAATACGCTCAACTGACAGTAGGGCGCTTTTTTTAATGCAGTAAAACTTCCTCGCTTTTTATAGAAAAAACATCATTTTTTAACACAGAGGAACTGGCAGTAGAAACTGTTGTCAATGTTAGCCTGGTCCCAATTGCACTGTAGAGGTAACCTAGTACAAACAGGTAAGAGTGTTTTGAACAGCAACCCAGTATTTATGGCAACAAGTGATTTTTCTTCAAGTACAACTACAGAGTTAAGGGAATATTGTTGAAATAAAATAATATATATTTTGGAAGTGCTATGTTGCTAACAGTATCTTAGACTATTAAAAGTAAAAAAAAAAATATGGAAAAGTCCAATTACTTGTCATTATTTGGCTTTTATTTGAGTGCAACATACATGAAGTTGGAGTTAGACCTGCTTAATTTCTTAAAGCTATCAGTCTTTTGGGGGTTTTTCATGCCTACCGGTGGAGAGGATGGGCTGCTACCAGAGAGGTTAATGTCCCTTTAAGCATATTTCAGTCCACTCACTCCCCCACTTATTTTTGACTCCAAAATAGCCTGGATTTAATGATCCTTGGGTCCACTGCAAAACTGGGTTTCACTTAGTCCTACCTGGAGTTTGTTACGCTGCAATAATCTCTGCTGGACACATTCGTTTTTTCCTCTTCACTGCCATATTGTGTGATGTTGTAAACCATTGCCAGATTAAATGTGAACTATATCCACTACTCGAAGGCTCATACTGAATTAGCAACCAGCAGCTGAAGGAGTCGGAGAGTGGCAGAGGTCACTGAGGCAGAACAGGGTGTCCTGCAGTGACACGAGCTGTCTCTCAGCTCACCTCTGGGATGAGATATGTATCAGGAGATGCATTTGAAGGGTGAGGCTGGAGCATCCCTGACTCCACTTCAGTGACAGTCTGAGTTCAGTCCATGCTCCCAGGATGTTCTGAGCATTTTGTTTTACGGAGCTGTGGGATGAAAAGCATGAGCGAAGGGTACCCAGGACTGCCCTGTACCATGCAGGGAGCTTGTGCCACGTGGCCCAAGAGCAAACATGACCAGCAGTGTTCCTGGCCCCTCGCTCGTGTCAGCACCAGCTCTTGTGAGCGATTGGACCAGCTCACTGAATTGGCTGAGAACAAATTATTTGTCGTTTTGGCATTGCAGGGTTAGGTTTCAGTTGGATTATTGGGCTAAACCAGCCCTCACCTGCCTGCTGTGGCCAGCACTAGAGAGATGGGGGACAGGGAGTGGGGGGAGATGTGGGGGCAGGACCACACTATCCAGGGCCAGGGTGGGCTTAGATGGACTATACATAGAGGTCAGGGTTTCCTCTGCCTGTTATGCACTTAAATAAAGGTAGGCAAGGTCCGTGGGAAGAGAGAAAATCCCTCCTCAGGTAGCCACAGTTAAGGGAAAAACTACTGGAGCCAGGTGGGAAAGTAGCTGATAGGGAAATGGGATGGACCAGAGGACGATGGAAAATGCTGCAAGGTCTCCTCTCTCCCCAGAGGAATGGACATAGTCCCTGACATTATGGAGGGACCCCATCTCTGAGCAGATTAGGAAGTGTTGGAGCCCCATTCTTAGGAAGAGCCCTGGTGAAAAGAGCAGCAGAAACAGGACATGGTCTACCAGATGCCACAGCAAAAGCAGCAAGTAGCATGAAAGGGAGGATGTGGGTGAGAATCTTTACTTTAGAAACCAGACACAGAGAATAAAACCAGCTCTACCCATGAGAAGAGGAGAGCAGCAGCTGTTTCCAACAGGCCCAAGTGTCAGGAGGATCTGTTATCTGTAAAATCCCATGCTGGTTTCCGAGTCCTGGCAGGAGCACTCGTGTGTTGGTGAGCGTTGTGGCAGCAGGATTTAAAGCATTTTGTAGCAAACAGGCCTAATCTCCCTAATCCAACTGTTTTTCCCCTGGTCTCCATTTGATTGCATGATGCTCCTTAGGCCCACAGTCAGGGCTGATATGTGGCATTGCTGCATTTTACTGAGGAGCGTGTGCAATTCATTAATTTGGGAGCTGGCAGAAGCATGCCGCAGCGGGGCAATGCAAATATTGAAATATTGTTGCTTCCAGCAGTGGCAATAGAGGCTGAAACAGGGATAATGTGCACTGATTGTATCTAGTGTGAACACAACAGGAGCAATCATGCAGGTAATTTGGCTGATTTGTGTCTCTGCTTGACTCTTGCCTTATTCTGCATGGGGGATTTCAATGGGTTTTGGGCTGGACCCTCAAGCAGAAATAGGACAAAGTTGTGGCAGGAGCATGGAGGCAATGACGGGGGGTTGTGTCTTATTTAAAGTAACTGCCAATTCTTTTAAACACAGTGATCTGTGCAGAAGACCCCATTGCCTGGAGGTTCCTGCCTCCAAGCCCAGCCAGATAGCAACACTTCACTGCTACTGCGTGGTCCCGGGTGTGGTGTGAGAGCTCTTTATTCCTCAGCCATCAGCCACCTGCAGCTCCTCCGCTCATCCCTGCAACCCTGCAGCAGGGGTGGGCAGTCAGGCCAACTGCTTAAATGGGCACCATGGCAATGAGGGGGCTTCAGAGGCAGGGTTCGTGGGCATGAGGAAACAAATGGTCCTGATTATGTTGGTGTTTGGGAACAGAGGGGGCCCCACTTTCTCAGTTTGTTCTTTTCATTTCAAAAAAATCCCAAATCCCATTAAAGACCAGGTGTTTTAAGGATCTGTGGCCCTGCAGAGCTTTTCTCTACTGCTGTCCTACCCCACATGCTGATCAAGGACACTTACAGTGCTGCTGCTGGCTGTTTATTTGGAATCACTGATCAAGTTGGAAATGGAGTAAAGCTGTAAAACGACAACTTCTGCATTTTTAAACGTATGTGTTTCTTCCTTTTGTTACAGTCGCATCCCTTAATCACTGATTGCTCACACTTCCCCCCGCCCTCCCCAGTCAGACTGAGCTCACAGTGTGGAATGAGTGCTCTCAGCCCCACAGACATCACAGGGATGGAGCCCTGGTAAAACCTTCAGTGGGACACACTCTGTCTCAGGTCATACCAAAACCCTTCTGACTTCCTCAAGCCTCTGGTCTGTGGGCAGGTGAACTCAAGAGTTCACCCAGTCATGCTCAAAAAGGCTGGGTGAGATCGAAGATACTGTCTGAACGAGAAAGAAGTAGACAGTCTTTTCTGGCAGTCACAATCAACAGCTATGTCTAGCCCTTATTCTCATCATCGTCTTGAAATAGATCAGCTAATATGTTCTCAGTAAGTGGTGTTTTTTTTTTCTCAAGCCAGGTTCTCATTTGTTTAATCTGCACTGGGCTACGTATGTTAGTCTACAAATGATTTTTGCTGTTCTCTGGTGAGTAGTTCTTCTGCAAGGTGAGAAGGGGCAGAACTGGCTGGTGCTTCTCCATGGGCTACCCCATCACACATCTGGCTACTCTGTTACCTTTTTTCTGAACTCAGGGCTTCCCCCTCTGTCCTCCTAGGGCTTCTCCCTCCTCTCCCTACTCAGAATTTACATAGCAGCTGCAAGTGGCCTTTGTCTTGACTAAATTTAAACTTCTACAAATGAAGGAAGATCATGACCTTGTGCACATGGCAATTTGCAACAGGGAAAGGAAAGAAGAGGCTACAATACAGTTCTGTAACACACACTTGTCTTCAAGGCTGTCAGCCATGAGAGGCGAAAACATCCTGCAAAGTCATTCCTGCTGAAAGAATGTTCCTGCCTCCTTAGGTTCAGGGTTAGCAGGGAGAAAGGAGTTGTTCCCTGAACAGTGGCTGCTGGAATAACTGCATTGGAGCTTGGCCTGACGGTGTTGGGCTGGGTTCATGGAGCAAATGTCTATACTTCTTCCCTGTGACTCCTAAGAGAGCAAGGGTTGGTCCCAGAGTCACTGGATGCTGGATGGCCCCCGCAATCTCAGAAGAGTCCACATTGCTTCTTCTCATTCTGCTGCTTCCATTTGGGCATCTGGTAGAACTCATCCTTGGACTTCCCAAAGATATCGTGGAAATCAGCATCGGAGAGGTAGTACTGCAGTGGGAGGAGAGAGCAAGGAAAAGTCAGATTTGGCTGTTGCAGAGGCTGGGACACCTCCATTGCCTGTGGCCCTTCCTCACTGTGCCAGTGTTGACCCCTCATGCCAGACCAACAGCTCCTGTGCTGCTGCCTGTCCTCATGGTGGGAAGTGGAACATCCCAGCAACTGTTCATCATCCTGCTTCCCAAAGCACCAGGGGAATAAAAGACCACCAGCCCACAGGGATGCCCTGGTTTTCAGGGGTTATCATGCTCTGTCTGGAATTCGGTCCCCGCTAATCATATTGAGGCAGGAAGAATTAATGGTGCATTGGAGGAGTTCTGCTGGCCAAAGTTTTTTTGTGGTTTCTTAGGTGAATTCACAGTGAAAGCATCTCCCCCTCGCTCAGTTCCCCCCAAAATATTCCACTGGAAATGTTCACTCCCGTTGCTGGAAAGGAAGAAAATTTTGTAGATAGTGGGCTCCTCGCGATACTGAGAAAGACCTTGAGGGAAATGGAGGTTGAGTTTTTCCTGACATTTTGGGTAGAAGAAAACACTCGTACAGGCCAGCTGAAATACAGCCATTAGCACACTGGCAGTGCTGCAGGGCAGAGCTGCTGGCCCAGATGTGGATCAGCTCTCTGGCTGTGGGTGTTGGCTTTTGGGACAAGACATTGGTCAAACATGGTTTGTAGAGAGTAGAGGGAATCAGTTCCCTGTGCTCTTCTCATCAGCTTGCTTGGACTAAGCTACAGATGTTGCCAAGATCCTTGAACTATTCAGAAATCTGAGATGTGGCATTCCTCCCTGTCCCTGGCTGGGATTTGCTGAAATGCAAGCTTTCTGACAAAAAGAAAAAAAAAAATCCCTTCTGGAAGGAGTTTCAAAAGAAAACAAATACCCACAGCCCAAGCAAAATGCAAATCCCAGCTTCACTTTCAGCTGTGTCACCTTGTCTCACAGGAACTGTATTTTTGACTCTTTGTCCCTCCAAGGTTGGGTGGCAGAATTAGACAACTCTAACAAAAGAAAATAGCTTGAAAGTTACCAATAAAAGTTAATTTTTCTTCCCCCCCC